TTATTAATGTATTCATAAATATAAAAATTGTATGCCACTCAAAAGCTAGGAATACAGTGGTTAAAAAAAAAAAAAAAAACAATGTCCCTGTCTTCCTGAACCTTAGATCTAGTAGGGGAGACAGATTATAAGAAATATAAAAATAAACAGAATAAATTTAAGACTGCAGGTCTGACTCGACAGCACATAACAACAACAACAAACTGGAGGAAATACAAAAGGGAGACGTGGCAGAGTAAAGGATTTGGAGGACATATTAAATAAAGTAGTCAGGATAGGACTCTTCAAATGTCCCTTCAATATGCTCCCATAGCTCTTTGAATCTATCACTAATAATAATGTTTATTCTTTTCTCTTTAAGCTGAGATGGGTATGATAAGAAAGAGTCATGATTGAAATGGGCCCTGGGAAGGTCATTTTAAATGAAGGAGAAAGAAGGTGGTATGGTTCTGAAGTAGGAATATGCTTGGTATGGTTTAAGAATGTTTTGAGACCAGTAGGCTGATGAGTTAGGGGAAAAAGAGATGAGATGAGATGAGAACAGAGGTAGGCAAAAGTTAGCTAATGCAAAACCTTGAAGGCCATGGCTAAATTTGGATATTATCTTCAATGCCATGGAAAGCTGTTGAAGAGTTTCAAGTCAGAAGGTGAAATGATGTGATCTGTCTATGTGAAAAAACACCTTGCTGTGGAGGATTAAAAACATGTATAGAATGAAATAGATTATATTGTTGTTAGATGCCTGTTAAATTGATTCCAACTCATAGCAACCCAATGTAACATCATTGGAAACTCCCACGTAGGGTTTCCTAGGCTATAATTTTTACAGCATCAGATTGCTAAGTTTTTTCTCCTGTGAAGTCGCTGGGGAGGTGGGGGGGGGAGGTGTGAACTGCCAACCTTTTGGTTAGCAGCTTAACACTTAACCATTGCAGCACCAGGGCTCCTTGGAAAAGATTTTAGGAGCATGATATTAATTAAGAACCTATTGAAATAAATAAATAAATAAGAGGTGATGGGAGATTTGTCTTACAGGGAATGCGAACTGATTTGGAATATAAGCTGGAGACAGAAACTATAATACTTACTATAGATGGATTGGATGGGGAAGTGAAGGAAAGGGAAGAAGCAAAGGTGACTCCTGAATTTTTTACTTGTTTGGTGGAGTGGGATAGGGGAGTGGTGATGACTTTACTAAGAGGAAAGTCTGAGGAAGAACAGTTCGTGTGGATAATCAGAGTTTGGCCTTAAGACACTTTAGGTTTGAGACGTTTTATACATTGAAATGGGCCTGACAGATTGACGCTTGTGTGGACCAGTCTGGAGCTCAAGGAAAGAAAAGAACTGTTATTGTTGTTAGTTGCCATCAAGTTGATTCTAACTGATGGCAACCCTGTGCGTGCAGAGCGGAACTGCTCCACAGGGTTTTCAAGGCCATGAACTTTGAGAAGCTGATTGCTAGGTCTTTCTTATACCAGAGGTGTCCTCTGGGAGGGTTTGAACCACCAACCTTCTGGTTAATAGTCCAATACTTCACCATTTTTGCTACCCAGGGACTCAGAAGAGAACTAAAGCTATACATTTGGATTCATCAACATACAGATGATAGTTCAAGCCCAGGTGCAAGGCGAAATGAAGGAGAGAGTGCAGTTGGAAGAGTTGGCCCAGCACTTAGCATCAGGCACTGCAGTGCTGTTACTGGAGGGAAAGCTCCCAGTGGAGTTTCAAGGCCTGTTGATACTACTCCTCAGAAGGAAGGTTGGGTCATCGACTTCCATAGTGATACCGCCTGGGAAACCCAAGGAGGGGTCGCTGTGAGTCGGATCAACTTGACAGCAGTGAGTTTGGTTTGGTTTGGTTGTGAAGTTAGAGGAGGTCACATGCCTCTGACATGCCATTTTTAAATAAAACATACATAA